GTAACCCCTTTATATGCCAGACTGGGGGAAAGGGGCAGGTGACTCATACCCCTGAGATAATTCCTACCATTATAGTGTTTCTATGGGAAGATATATCATGATGTGAATTGGGGAGTTAAGGGTGCATTGCAGGAAAATAAGGGATTCTAGTTTTGGGGGAAGGGTTTAATTGCAAAGAATTGAGGACTTATGATTTTGAGAGGGGAGGAGTGAATTGCAAGCCAATGTTAGGACATATTGTATATAGCCTCAATAGGATATATTGGTTAGGGACGAGATTGATTTTGGGAGGCTGCTGAAGAAACTCCTACATTAAGTTAAGCCCAGTCATGTAGGACATAGTTCATTGGTTAAAAGCTTCAGCTGAGCGGTGGCACAAACCAGTGATTTCTTGCAGGAGCTTTCTACAACAGGTGAGGCAGTGGTGCATTTCTGTTAGAATACAAAATGCATTTTTGCTTGTGCAGTTAGTTTCCTGCATGAATACCTACCGAAGCAGTTCGTATCGTTCGTGTTTGCCCCTTTCTTGTGACGTTTCACTCAGACTACTGCCCATACACTGTACGCTCGCTGACGGAATGGCGTCTTGTTGAGCTGCTTCACGCACGTGGTTAGAGTAAGATCCAATAGCAACTCATCTTGCGTACGTTGTCAAAATCCATATTGCCATGGCAACCAAATGATCGGCCTACGTTTTCCAGGTTATTCGTGTCGTGTTTAGCATCATCTACTTTATAAACAATGGTAAGTAATGTTTTATTTCACATTGAAGAACAATAATGGCGTGCAATATGAAATATAATTCAAACCTGCCTTGCACATTGCAAATGCCTTGTACATATACTGTATACATGTATTAAGTACGTAGATTATATACTGTAGGAAAAGCTGCGCTTTGAATTCGTTTTTGAATCGAGGTTATGTAATACATTGAAAAATACATCCTTTAAAAAAAAAAAAATATATATATATATCGTTGTGCATGAAGACAATTTTTCCACGTTATCTTTCACAGCTAGATGATGTATCATAAAAACTGTCAGTGTCCAAAGAGAATTTGGAATTTGTGTGCAAAATAAATAAAATATTTTGACCTACAAAAAAAAATGTAAATTCGAATTGTATTAATAAAAGGACCACTATAGGCACCCACACCACTTC